CCGTATCAAGGGCTTCTTTCCACAGTGTAAGGTGCAATGTAAATGTTAGCATGAGCAGGTTCTTAAAGGAGACAGCTAGGTGGAGCTGAGGGATGGGAAGCCAAAGGCACGGCCAGTGCCTTGGAGTCTCGGGGCCGTCCTCCATAGAAATGGCTGTTATACAGATGGCCGCTCTCCTGACATGCCTGACCTCAGGAAAGGTCAAACTCATGTCAGAATATTAAAACATTTAAATGCCTACAAAAGTTCTAGAATAGTGAAGCCTGCAAATTGGGATTAGGGTCCTGGCCCCTAATCAAGTAGTTTTGCAGAACACACCTAGCAAACCACGTTAGGTCCTTTTAATTGACTAATGAGTGTCACAGACAGCAGAGACATGATACCACTAAGTGTGGTTCTGCGGGAATTTAATAAGAAGTTTGATTTTTATCCCGTGTGACATTTTCATTGCTCTTCTAGGAAAGCAGCCAGGAAAGAATGGGACAGGTGGAAAGTGGCCTGTAGGCACAGATCACTTTTTCTCTAACCCTAACCCTGTATTCATGGTTGAATGAAAGAATGTTAACCAAAGCCTACTCAATGTCATGACAAATAAAACTTTTTAAAAATGGCTCTGCATTTCACATTGTAAAGAAGTTAAAACACAAAGGAATGGTATCAACATTCGGCTAAATGTTTCTATACTTGTTTCCTATCAAAGAGGGAGATTAGTCTGGTGTGACTTTTCTAGCACGATGGCTGCCCCTTTGCCACCCTGCAGAGACTTAAACACTCACTTCTAGTTTTTGAAATAAACTAACTTCTTAGATAAGACTTGTAGAAAGAATCAGCAGATATATAAAAGAAAGTTATCCAGTTCAATAAGAGACAGAGGAAGCCTTATTGACAATAAGTCTCAGGTATAATTATAGCATTCCATATCTTGCCACTAGAAAAAATTTATAAGGACCTGTGAAATTTTAAGGAAAGAGGCAATAAGATTAGCCTCGACCAACTTAGATTGGTGCTAATCTTTCTTTCTCCAGGTAATTATTACTGCTTGAGGATTATATTTATTTCCTAATTGCTAATATGTTGCTTCTTAAATCCTTCGAATTATTTCATGCTTGTATATGTCATATTTTTAACTAAAATGTAATCCCCTTGGATGATAGGACATGATCTCTTTCTAGAATCTTAGTGCTCTCCCAGCTCCCAGGGCGACACCCAGCCTAGCCCACCGGCGCAAAGTACACACAGCACCGGTGTTCTTTGCCTCTTTTCTGCACTTGCATCTTCAACTTTCCTGGATCTCTTTCTAGAATCTTAGTGCTCTCCCAGCTCCGAGGGCAACACCCAGCCTAGCCCACCGACGCCTCTTTTCTCCACTTGCATCTGCAACTTCCCTATATTTTGAATACCTACAATGTGCCAGGTACTATGATGGGGACAGCTGTGGCAAGGTGGGCATACGTCCCTACTTCCTGCCTCTCCCACACATGGAGGAATCCGTCTCCTTCTGTATTCCATTATTAGTGAGTGGTACCCCCATCTGGTCAGTCACCCAAACAAGAATTCTGGAGTCATCTCTGCCTTTCTCTCCCCAACCTCCCAGCTACATGCTATTAGCCAGTATCTTAGCCTGGAATCCTCAAATGCAGAGTCTGAGGCAAGGGCTTGGGTGAAGGGTGTTGTTAGACTTTGGACCATGATCCCAGGAATGGAGGAGTGGAGAGAGAAACAGGGAAGGGAAAGGAGGAAGGACAAGATAAGGGGGTGTCCTCATGTTGGTCACTCCTGGGAAACCAAGGTCCATGATCCCAGGAATGGAGGAGTGGAGAGAGAAACGGGGAAGGGAGGAAGGACAAGATAAGGGGGTGTCCTCATATTGGTCACTACTGGGAAACCAAGGGGTAAACCTAACAGGATTCTAAGGACAGCGTGGGATTCGCCCCAGAATTTTTCTGCCTGAGGAAAGGAAGAAGGGAGCATTTATTCACTCGTTTCATCCTCCGCTGTCAGGTTTACCCCATGAAGCCTTAACTCCCTCACATCCGGGCTGTGCACAAATGTGTGCCACATGGGTTCCTATGGGTGTTGCACTGGGAGCAGAAAGCAAGGGATCTGTCAAGCCTCCTAAGCCAGGCTGCTCTTGGGTTACTTCTGCGTGAATCTGGTGGCGGCAGCAATGGTTAGAATAAAAGGTGGCCAAGAGGACATGAGGCAGGGCACGGGAGCGTCCAGCTGGCAACGTGTTGGTTCTGCTCCACCACCTCCCACTTGCGACTTAGATATTATTGGTAACCCACCAACCCGCGACATTCTCAATAGCCTGTTTTACTGGATCTGTGAAAGAAAGACATCATGCTAGCAGTAAATTCAGTGCTGAGTTCCTTCTGGAGGTGGCTAGATTGGATGTTATCTTTTCTCTTTTCCTAAAGGGTGTGGTTTTCCCAGTAGTCAGTTCCTCAATGACCACATTTAATAAATTGTAATAAATGCAGAATAGATTTATTATTCCCAACTTTGCAATACAAAGGAAAGATGAAAAACAATTGGAGGCTGAAGGTTGAATTAGATACACATTGTGCTTTGCCTTTAATTATAAGCAAATGTAAAAATGAAGTGTTTCCAAGTCAAGAGCATCTTTGGCCCGGCCTGGCCCGTCTCCGACACCAAGAGCACATGTCTCCCCCCAATTCTGTTGCACAGCCATATTCGACTTCCTTTTGGCATCTGTAAAAGGACTGGCAAGGCCTTTGATGTGAACTTGCTCATAGCCTACTTCAGAAAGGGGAGGAACCTTTCACTAGGACCCTGTACGTTGAGAGTTTTCAATCCATTTATGTAAATATAAATATGGAAACAAAGAAGCCAAGATCCTTGAGAGGACTCTCGACTGTGGATACTTGGGTGGATGATGTTCCTCGCTGAAGTTTTGAATTTGAGAAGCACCGTGGGAGAATATCAAAGTGACACGCTCACTCTTAGCCCTGTGAGGTCTGCAAGCATGCTGGGTAACAGACTGTTATTTCTCTTTAACTTCCGGAAATTAAGTTGAAGCAAAGGAATAAACCTTCTCCTAAAGAATTCTTTTAACTTAATATATATCTGACACTTTAACTTTGTCATCTCCATGGTCCCCTCATTAAATTTAGACCATTAATATAAATTAGTGTATGCCTTTTACTTTTTTGAGCAAACCCCAGATATGAAAGCTTGAGTAATTCTTTCTTTATTTTGAATGGTGGGTTCTGTTTCTTGCCCTTCCTAGGTGGGATCTGCCTGCCTCACAATATTTGTTTTTCTCCATAAAAACTTTGACTCGATATCTTCATCCAGTACTTGTGTTCAGTCTTCCACGGGTATCCTATAAGAGTTTTGCACAGTTTCATGCATCTCGACTATCCTACTTTTTCTCAGCCTGATCGCTTATGTTATTTAAAACTTTTAAATGATATACATACATTACCACTATCCCATTATCCTGATTTTAAGAAAAAGAGGTTCTTTATCCATTCAGTCCAATCTGCACTAAAGCCTTTTTTATTTATTTTCCTTTAGAATGTCTCTGAGCTTCGCTCACCTTCTCTCCTTCGCTATTGCCAGCAACACCGTTTTTAACGTTTTTCAGCTCTCCTGACTAACTCCTCTAATCCCCACCGCCCTCCCTGTTTTTCACCTTGCATAGCACGGCCAGGTTAGTTTTCCAAAGCGGCACTTCACATCACGTCATTTCATTTCTTGCTCAGGAAGCTTGGGGACGCCCGCCTTCTGTAGTGAATTCTAAAGTCCTTTCTATCTTTTAAAATCTTATCTCCAGTCTCTCTCGATCCCAGCCTTTGGGGCGCTGTCCCTTTCCTAGAATATCCATTCCTCATGTCCTCTGTCTGCCCTGTCTCTTACTCTTCCACACTATGTTCCAGGTACTGTTAGTACCCGAATACTTCATCGGATCCTCACAATACAATCTTATATGATGATTATTATGATCTCATTTTAGAGATGAGAAGTCTGATGCTCACAGGGGTTAAGGCATTTGCCCAGAGTTAAGTTATATTCATTAAGTGATGGGACTAGGATTCAAACTCAGGCAGTCTGGCTTCAGAGGCCATGTTGCTAACCGCTATGCTGAACTAACTGCCTCTTTCTATCCTGTTTGTCTCTAATTGTTACCTTAGTCCTTCCTCAGCCTGACTGTCAGCTCCTAAAATCAGATATCATCTTCCCTGCTTTGTATACATCCCATTTATTGCTTTCCTGGAGTTCATCATGTAGGAAAGTCTTAATGGAATTTACTGCACGCAGGCAGGGAACTTACCTGTCTTATTCACCAGCATTTCTTCAGCACCTAAAACAAAAACAAACAAACAAACAAAACACCAGGGTCTGACGCATAATAAGTGCTCAAAGATTATTTGCTGAATAAATGGCTAAGGGAATGTTTGATTGATTCACAGTTTGACAAATACACAATCATGTCAGTGCATCCTTCTCAAGTTTTTCCATTTATATAAATTTGCGTATCCGTATTTTATGTGTAAGTCTCTCAAGTCTGTAGGCCACCCCTGATGATTAAGCTGGATATTTTCTAGACTATAAAATGGATGTTCAGTTGTCCTCAACTTAGGTGGTTATTGCCCACATAGACCTAAAGATTTCAGTGTTCAGAACTGATGAAATTAAATTGCGCCAATTTAGGTAAACTAACATTTTGTTATCAGAAGCAAAAAGGGATACTTCTGTTAGGTTAATCTTAAGAAACAGTACTTTTAAACTTGAGGTCCATAGCACTATTTATTTATTATAGCATTTATATTATAGGTAGAAAAAAAAAATGGTATCATTAGTCTGCAAATCTTCAAAATTTAATTTTTGCAAATGTTTCTTCTTCACGTAAAAGCTCTTCTAAATTGGAAGAAGGAATTGTTTGCTTCATACCCTACATCTGAAAACTATTTTGGTCTCTACTTTTCATTCAGTGTTGATTTTAGTGTTTTAGATAAAAGGTACCTCATTTGGGGGTGTGCTCAGAACAGGGTGCTTGAAGAATGGCGTCTTGGTTTATAACGCCTCCAACGGGAATTCAGGTTTACTCCTCACAGGTGGCAGGATACTGTTACCTTCCTGTGACATTATGCTCTATACATGGGGAAAAAAGAAAAGAAAAAGATGCCTCATTTAATTCTCTCTAAATGCTGTTAGCGGAGCTCAGGTTTCTGCAGAACACAATCTGTATTTAATTTATTTGCAAAGCCACATTCAGCATTGAGGTTTTAAAATTCAGTCAAAATAAATGATTTCACATTAAAGCCTGTATTTAACACTAAGTTTTCAAGGCGCTTCCAAAAATGTGCTGTTCTCCAAGATAGCCTTATTAGTCCCATTTTGCAAATGACAAAGTTGTGGCAAGAAGCAATTAAATATCTTTACCAAGATCTATTGGAACGGAGTCCTACTGAGTAAGCCTGTGACTTATGATCTAACCATCCTTGGTAAATTGGGAGAAAAAGCTACAAACCTAGCAGGAAAAAAAAAAAAAAATGATCAGCAAGGAGGAAGCCAAATATAAGCACAAGATTTGTTTTCAGGGCCCTTTTCACATGGAATTCCAGAAAGCTGAGGAAAAAAAGGGAAAAAAAAAAAGACCTCAACTAATCCTTGTATTTCAAGGGAGAAAAGAAACGTAGAAGTTACCTCATCTTAACCACACATCCAAGTAGTTAGGACAAATGTGAAGGTCACGTGGAGTTAGGCCTCGTGATGCTGTCGACTGCAAAAGCTCAGCCAAATCGGTGTTTATCAGAGAAAGTGAATTTAGGAAATAGAATATTGGAAACAAATTAATAAATTACAGGAAGGTCTTAAAAGGGTGTTCTTTAAGTTCTGAAACGAAATTATAAAGCCCAGAAATGATGGTCGTCTCCTAAAATTTTCCAATCTATTGCTCACCAGTCTATATGTACTGTGTCACCTACTCTTAATCACATGCCTGCCCGAAAAGAGGGGACACAATCAGCTCAACATGACCAAATCACCATGGGTAGTCCGCTGTCACCTCCACACACGTGTATATATATCTTCGCTCATGTATTCACAGTGATTAAAATTTAAAGCTTTTTTTTTAAAGCTAAATTCTTCCTCCTAGGTTCTTTAATTAAACAAAGCTGATAGACTTAGCATTTTGTGTCCAGCATCTTTTAATGAACCTACCCATCTGCAACTGGTTATGTACATCATATGCATAAATGTTTGGACTATTTATATTCTGATATGTTTGATTCATTCTTTCTTTCTTTCAACAAATACTCAACACCTACTCTGTAGCTAGCACTTTAACAGATACTGAGCGTTCAGTAATGAAAAACACCGATGTGGTTCCAGCCCTCATGGGGTATATAATCTGTCAAGGAAAACAGACGTTGAACAAGAAACTGGGAGAGGTGATCAGAATGTGGAAAGGTATGTACATAGGTCAAGAGTCCCAGGTACCACAAGAATCTCATATGGACGGAGTTTAGAAAGCAGAATACAGGGGCATGATATGAAGATGGAAGGGTGGGAAGGGGCTAGATCATCAAAGATCTAAGTATGTGAGGCTTTATTCTGAAGACGATAAAAAGTGATAGATTCAACTGTGGTCAGGAAGGGGATGGGAGGATGACATGACAGGATCTGCATGTGAAATCTTGCACAAGGAGAAAATACTTGGATTAAATCAAGGTAAATTAATTTGGTTTGGAATATGGTTGTCATGGGGAAGAGCCATGGCTGGAGCAATTTGATGGATCGTACCACTGAGGGTGGGGAATGAAGAGACGGAGAGGCAGCAAAAATGAGTTCCTGCTTTGGATATGCTGAGTTTCAGATGCCCGAAGTACATGTAAATGGAGACATCCAGCAGCCAGAAGAGAGGACTGGGTGGGATATATGGAATTGGAAATTATCAGTATCCAGAGAGGGCAAAATATATATTCCACGAGGGGTGAGAGCATGTATGGAAGGATGGTGCCCTAGGGTTCTAACTCCAGGTGGTTATCTATGAGCATCAGTGGATAGGTAAAGAGGTCATGTCCTTGAGGCTTCCTGGAGGAAGTGACACCTTAGTTGAGTCTTGCAAGATAAATAGAGAGTAGCCAGGCAGAAAGAGTATGCAACTTGAAACAACTTAATGCACAGGAAGAACTAAAGGAAGTGACGGAAGGATGGTGCCCTAGGGTTCTAACTCCAGGTGGTTATCTATGAGCATCAGTGGATAGGTAAAGAGGTCATGTCCTTGAGGCTTCCTGGAGGAAGTGACACCTTAGTTGAGTCTTGCAGGATAAATAGAGGGTAGCCAGGCAGAAAGAGTATGCAACTTGAAACAACTTAATGCACAGGAAGAACTAAGGGAAGTTGCTGGGGTATAAAGTATGAGGCAGGAAGTAGCAAGTGCTAAAACCTAAGAATGGACAGTTAGGCGGGCCTGCATCGTGTACCCATTCCTTAGTTAATGCCATCTGTTTAAAAATACAGCAATACCCACAGGCCTGGTGTTCTCTGAAAGACAGACAGGGGATGCTTCCCTGGTCTCTAACCTGAAGGCGTAGACCTGCACAGTGACCATGCTGCCCCACACTCCCTACCTCCTCCCAGCCACCACTCAGTCCACTCTACTTTGCCATTTTATCTCAGCCCCTTTTCATTTCCAAAGCCACTCTTCGAAGGAGACTTCTGCCAGTTCCCAAGATGCATTTCCTTCCCTCGTCCGCATTGTCCTCTGTGTCATGTAATTCGCTGGTAATTCACTGGCCCATGGGGCAGCAGCTCAGAGCCCGGCACTTGTTCCCACCCACATTCCAACGGCCCTTTACCACTGATGAGTGAGCCGAGCAAGGATCTTTATAGCCTCCCCTGCTCCTTCTGGTGGCCCTTCCTGGAAATGTGGGAACCTCCTCAGTCCTCCATCAGCCAATGAAAATGAGATAATAGATGTTCGAAGCCTTGGAAAAGACAAGAAACATGTAATCTATAGTGTTGTTATCACCTGAGGCCTCTAGACCTCTGAAGAAGCTATTTCTGGCTTTGTGGGAACTTCATGAAGGAGGAATCCATTTCACTAAGTGCCCCCATATAAAAACCTGGGTTAAAAAGTTTAAAAGGTTCAAAAGGAATTATGGTGGTTAAGGAGGGAAGAACAGAAAATGAAATATTTCAGTCAGAAATTTCAAGGCCTGGACATGGTTCCATAGTGTAACGGTTAACATGTCTGCTTTGCACGCAGAAGGTTCTGTGTTCATGCCCCTGTGGAGCCATGGTCCACGATCTACAGCCATGCCACCTTAAACAAGCCCGATGTCTGATCTCGGAAGCTAAGCAGGGTTGGGCCTGGTTTGTATTTGGATGGGAGACCACCTAGGAAGACCAGGTGCTGTAGGCATAGAATAATAACAATTTTTTAAAAAAAGAAATTTCAAGGCCTTCTTCTTAGAAGGAGATCTCTAACCTACAACACAAATCCAAATCCTGGATCTCTACTACGTTTTACAAACTGCATTAGCATTTTACCCACATTTACAGACTGATTCAATGGAAGGTTTGGAAGGTAAGGAGAAAAGGTAACCTATGAAAAGTAGGGTATTAAAGAAAAAAAGTATCCCATCACTTTTACTAAATTAATGGGACTTTTACTAAAATAAAGGGAAAACAAAAGTGATTGGCCTTTATCCCTGTTCAGATAAGCTGAAAACTTGGATTGCAATAACAGAAGCAAAAGGAGACAAGTGTCCCCACTTCTGCGTGCTTTTCCAGGTGAGCAGATAATTCATTAAATTAAGGCAGCCACATTCCCTCTTCCAAAAAAGGAGGCCCTATAAAACTGGGACTTTCTGATTTGAGAAGTGAAGGTGCTATCTCATCTTCAAGTCTCTTCCTCAAACACAAGAGTTAATAAAAAGTTGCCAGTTTATACAGCAAATAACAAACTTTCCTGAGCTTTTTGGTAATCAAGTGAGTTTTACTTTTATTAATTCCATCCCTCCCCGTTTGTAATTTAGATGGAAGAACACTTAAGTCCATGAAAATCCAACTAAAGAAACATTGGCCTCTTTTGGAAGAAATCTCACATTTAAATATTTTTTTTTAACAAATAAGTGTTTAGGGTAAAAAAGTTCAAAGACTTGCTTCCTTTGTTCCTTTTAATATTTTACTTGGAGTTTGGCATTGCAGTCAGGACGAGCCACAGCAAGAAAAATAGACCTGCATATAAAAAATACCGAAAAGGACTATACACCAAAATATTTTTATTTTTTTCTGTTATATTTTTATATTCCTTATATTTTTTATTTTTAAATATTGGTATCTGTGTGGCAGATTTATGATGGCTTTTTGTTTTTTTCTTTTTTCTTTTTGTTTAACTGTAGATTTTGTAATAAAAATATTTGAGGAGAAAGACTAAGGTTTGATTCCAATGATATCTTTCTTGTTTTTGAATTTGAATAGTTAAGCAAATTAACATATTAAGACTGAGAAGGCAAAGAAAATCTTCAGTAATAAGTTAAATTTAGCTGTTTGTCCTCTTTGAGATGATACCAGGGTATTTTCATGGATAAAATTATAATACCAGTCTATGGCCATGCTACCCTGAACAAGCCTGATCTCTTCTGATTTCGGAAGCTAAGCAGGGTCGGGCTTGGTTAATACTTGGATAGGAGACCACCTAGGAAGACCAGGTGCTGTAGGTGTAAAAAATAAAAAGTAAATAAATAAAAATAAAAAAAAATAAGGGATTGTAAGCTGATAAGGCCCTTGTAATCTGTGAGGTCAATTAAGGGTTGCCTCACCTAAAAAGAATAATAATAATAAAAATAAATAAATAAATTATAATACCAGATGGACTTTCAGATTCATATTTTCTATTCTAGCCCACAGAAGCTTTACTTTAAGAGTTTTGCAAAAAAAAATCTGGCTTGTAGGCTTGTATTTCAGTCTTTTCTCATGGAAGCCAGTGTGGAACAGTAGTGGACACTGGCCATAGTAGATCCCAGACCGACAGGGCTCAGTGCTAAGAGGCTATTAATTGATGAGTTCATTGAAAGCACTAACTTCCTTCTTTAAAACAATTTGGATTAAACAATAAGACTGGGCTGAAAACTTCGATATTTATAGGAGG